ATAGTTTTTGGGTTTAAAAGTGACACAGCAGTCTTGACTTTTACTTTTCGCTTTCTCTCCTCCCTTCTTTTTTCGCTTTTCTTGCCTCATTTTTTTTTTCTCTTGCTGGGCATTTAGTAGGCTTCATTTTGGTGGGAAGAGTTTTTAGGAAAGCTTTTAGGATCTTAGGATTAGGTGAAAGGAAAGGTAGGTGGGTAATGGAACAAGATTTTCATGGAGATTTTCAGGCCCTTGTCACGTGGTTTTTTGCTTCTTTCTCCAGTGTCCTTGACTGAATTGTGCTCATTCTGGTATGGTTTGAAAGATCTCTTCACTCTGCACAAGTTAGCGAAGAAAGTTGTCCTTGACCGTTAAAACTGATGACGTCACAAAGGGTAGAAAGGGCCTGGATCCGCACGGGCGGTTACGGGCGGTTCAGGGGCGAATGGGTTAAGGACTTGTTTAATGAAGCAGAGCAAAGGCTAGCACATGAAAACAGACTTGAGGTACCTCAATGCAAACACAGTGACTGTTTTTAATTTCTTGTCTGGGCACTTTGGCCCGCGTTTGGACTCATATTAATTTGCTTTTCAAACTTCTAAATTGGGACAACGTAAGCACAAATGCATGGTAAAAATTTCTCGTCTGCCGTGTTAGGATGCAGGATGCTCAGATGGTTATGAGTATCTCACTGTGCTCACCTTTGCATTGTTTGCTTTCAATTAGTGAGGCCCTCTTAGGCGAGGGATACGTATGTCCTTAGTCTGAATTTCAAATATGGTTGTTTCATGTTTTGATGATTAGGCCATGTCCCTGTTTATGTTGCTCTTCGCAATTTCATCTATTCTTATTTCGCTCTTTTAAGGCTATGTCACTTGTCGGAAGTTTACTCTAACAAGGTCTCATTAGTTCACTTATTATTTTTTGTTTTAATGGTGTATTTTGTATTGGTTTCAGATGGATGAGACATGATTATCAAGTATTTTATGTTGTCACTTAATGGTACAGACTTTTTGTAATCATGTACATTCAAGAATATATTATTGGTCATCTGGTGGATCCAAGAAGAAAAAATCCCTCCTTTCTTTGGCAAAAATAGCGACGTAAAATAACAAGAAAAGGGCCAAACATTTTTAGTCTTGTCCTTGAAATGAAAAGGCCATCAGCCTCCCACATCTCTATCAGCTGCAGTTTGTTTCTCCACTCAAATGTACAGAAAATGGACTAACTTAAAATGCAAAAAAGAAAATCAACCATTTGATTAAGATATGAAAGTTATATTGAAAAGATATAAAAGATGGCTTGTATTACTATAGAGCAGTGTCCAATACAATGTTACCGACATTATTATATAGTTGTGTGAGCTGACTGATTTAGATAAGACTTTTCAAACGACTGAAAATACCAGTATTCTCTTCTCCTGTTCTTGTTCATTGTTCATTTTCCATTCAACATAAAAGATTCGATTTAAAATTCCCAGAAATCCCATGTGTTCAAATGTTTCCCAGTTTTTCAAAGTATTTTCCGTCCCCTCGAGTTGCAAACTCCCATGATTCAAGAAGACGGCTGAAATTGAGACTAGGAAGGATCTAACTCCTCCCTATTTTAAGGTGTAACTGAAAAGCCAGCAAAGACATATGACAAATAAGCCGAAGGGATGTATCCTGGCCGCCAGAGGTTTTTTGGTTCTTTCCTACGCAGCGAGCGGGTTAAAGTTAGCTCTGGTTTACAAGCAAATTTCACAGGTAGGGTAACCCTATCACCCGGGTCAACTTTGCCAGCTTTACTGACGTGTTTCGTCATGCCTGACATTCTATGTAAGGGTCCAAAATTTGAAATAACCTTGAAGCTCTACAGAAAACACGTTAATTCACGAAAAGGGGGCAAATATTATCATCGTACACAGAAAGTAACTTTTTATTTTCCCGATGTTTATAATTAAGCTCAGAAATTGGATAATACCGTTTAAATTGGCACGATTACTGGTCACGCATGACGGCGAAAAGTTGACCCGGGAAGGCGAGTTATCCTAGCTGAGCGTTTACAAGGCAGGTAGGGTAACCCTCTCGCTAGGGTAACCCTAGCACTAAGGTAGGGTAACCCTACCTGCCTTGTAAACGCGTCATGTGAAAAAGGAAGAAATATGCGAGTGCTAGGGTAACCCCGTCCGGGAGGGTAACCCTAGCACCAGGCCTACCCTCCCCCCTTAAACAGGGCCTAATTCGTGACAGGCTGCGACAGCGAGGCGCGAAGCGCCAAGAGACGGTTTTTCGAGAACGGACCTCTGGAGCCAGGGTAGCGACGTCAACGTGAACGGCAATAAAGCAATGAGTTTAGCTTGGTTTAGCTTGGCAAAACAACAACTCTGCACATGCATCACGCTTTTTTGTACATTTCTTTGCCGTCACTGCGCGACTACGACGTGCATGGAAGTGCCCAATTTCACGTTTTAAGGTGATGTTACACGAGACGATTCGCAACGAAGATCACAGTTTTAGCGCAACACACTGTTGCAACATTGTTCCAACATTGCAACGCTGTGTTGCGCTAAAAATCGTCGCTGCGAATCGCCCCGTGTACAGTTGTAACATCACCTTTACGGAGGATATGCACATTTTCCCCCACAACCTTCCTGGAAATAGCCATATATTGATCATAAAACTGTCTTCAGATTCTTGAGAATACAAATTGAACTACAGTACTACAGTCGACTCCCGATAACTCGAACCTTCAAGGGAAATCGAAAAAGATTCGAGTTATCGGGAGTTAAAAGAAAATAGCCGAGAGTAAGGTAAAAACAGTTTTTACTGCATAGTGAACCTTTTAATCACATTAATTGTAGAAATGTTAAGCGAAAATTAAGGTTCGAGTTAGCGAGGGTTCGAGTTATCGGGAGTCGACTGTAGTATGAATGAAGCCGTCAACATCTTAAATCTGAAGTTCATGTTCATTTTTAATATCCACACCATCTAAGCCAGGAAATGGTGTTCGATTTTTAAGAAACGATTTTGGTTCACGTTAACCTACAATAGTTTAGTGGCCTTATCTACCACGAGTGTCTTGTAGCTCAGTGGCAGAGCATCTGGTTTAGTTACCAGGTCATAGGTTCCACTCCTGTGTGGAGTACACATTTCGAATGTCTCAAACTGGAGTTCACCGAGAGGCTTAATCCCCGTCGAGAAGAAGAAGGCTGAAAGTAAGGTTCGCCTATAAACTCAACAAGAATAGAGTAACGAA